GGGTTTAGCTGGCGTATCTCGGGCCCACTTTAGAGCTAGGGCATGATCTTAGGTGTTCTGGATAGCCCACAAGGGTCTTCTTTGGCATGGTAGCGGTGGTTTTGCGCGAGGCGTTCATTCAAAAATCACCATTTCCCCCACTAGAGGGGGGAATGGGCGGTCGGCGATGGGGTATGATGCAACAGGGCGTACGGGGTAGTCGTCACTTTCCTGCCTCACAAGGGCGGGGCTGTCCCGGAAAGTGAGAGACGCCGGGCAGCGTGACGCATCAACGAAACCTCCCATACGTGTTTGGGCTCCTCCTTCGCTGTCCCATCTCCTGGGGCAGAAGCTGCCACTTCCACACGGCAGGCAGCTGGAGGCGCCAGTGCCGTTCTGGTACGTTCCCGCCCTGCAGAGCTCGCACTCGGCGTTGCGCGAGCCAAAGGCAAACGTGCCGGCACGGCACGGCACGGGAGCCACGCTGCCGGTGGTGCAAGCGTGGCCCTCTGGGCAGCCCTCGCAGCCGCCCGCCGACTCGAGGTTTGTCTTATTCGAGTACGTGCCCTTTTCGCAGGGCAGCGGCGCCGACGCGCCCTCGGCGCAGTAGCTGCCCATTTCGCACGCGATGCAGCCCGCCGCTCTCGCCTCGCTCTGATAGGTCCCGCCCTCGCAACGGGTGCACTCGGAGAGGCCGCTCGCGATGGCAAAATAGCCCAGGAGTTGGTGCCTGGGTGACTTGCTGATGAGAGCGCCTTCCAGGCGGGTAGTCGTGCCCCTCACCTACGGTATACGGCGGCGTCAGAGGGGGGGGAAGGGGCGCGAAGCGTGAACATGGAGGCAAGCAGGTGGTGGGCACCTGGCCAAAGCCGGCGACCTCAAAGTTGTCGTTGCTTGTGCGGAGCGTGAAGGGGACCGGATCGGCAGCAGCGCGGGCGGCAGCGGCCGGAGAGGCCGGAGAGCCGTCCGACGGAGGCCGGTCGTGCATCGGCGCGTCGGCCGTAGGGGCCGTGGGGGGCGGCATCCATCGCTGCGGGTCGCTGCGGGGTGCGGGCCGACGATTGTGGACTGATCGATCGTCGGCGGGCGGTGTTCAGCTGGGACGTTCTACGTTAAAAGAGCGTCGGCGCCGACACGAGAGACTTATAAGGGTAGAAGGTTCGGCGATCTCTCTAAAAAGAAAAAGAAATCCGCGGTGCAGAGGTCTTCACGACCGACACACCGGCGCTGGAAGCACTCTTGCCGCTGATTGGTAAGCCGCCGCGCCATGGCCTCGTCGACCTCTGAGGCAATGGACGTTGACGACACCGCCAAGGACAGGGATCGTGTGTCCGCCCTGGTGCGGCGTTACTTTGCGCAGCTGACCAGAGGCTGTGGTCGGCCAGGCTGCCCGAATCGGCACTGCCGAAGCTCTGCAGACGCGAGTGAGCTCGACCCGACGCGCGCCGCGCTGCTGAGCCTCGAGCTGGCGCAGTGCGGCGACCACGCGCTCTGCGACGAGCTGCCTCCCTTCCTCTCCCTGCCGCTGCTGCAGCAGCTCTGCGCCTCCGCCTCGTCTGGCGCGCCAGAGAGTATGCACGCGCTGGAGGCGTCGCTGGCGGAGGTCTTCTCGAGCGCCGAGGCGCTCAGCCGCTCCTTCGTCTCCAGCAGCGCCGCGCGCGAGGCGGAGGCCGCCCAGCTCGCCGTCGACCCCTCGGAGCTCAGCGGTGTGGACGCAGGCGCCGCACGTGCAGACGCAGCGCAGACGCAGCGCAGACACCGCCCTCACCTCGCCTGACACGGGCCGCCTCACGTCGCCGCTTCCAGTGCCTGGCCAGTGTGATCGCTTCACCAGTGCACGATCTCGCCAGCGCACGGCCTCGCCAGCGCACGGCTGCGCCAGCGCACGGCTGCGCCAGCGCACGGCTGCGCCAGCGCCGCCTCCGCAAGGCCTCCACCGCAAACACCCTCCGCCACGCCCTACCGCACGCGCGCAGGCGCCGTCGGCGAGGCGTACTCGCTGCTCTTCTCTTCGCCGCCAGACAGCGCCGGCTTCACGGCCGCCGACCGGCTCGGAAACGTCGTCATGCGCGGGGTGCGCCCCCTGCTGCTGGCGCGGGCCCGCGCCCCCGTCAACGCCCCCTTCCGCGACCTTTCCTCGACCTCTCCCCGCAGGCGCACGCGCTGCTCCGCGGCCGCGGCGCCTACAAGCTGCTCACCGAGGGCAACTGCCCCCTGCAGAGAGAGGGCGGCTCCCTCCGCTGGCTGCTCGTACTGATGGCCAACCCGCTGCTGCTTGAGCCGCAGCACCACAAGCCGGCGCGCGAGATCGGGCCGAGATCGGGCCGAGATCGGGCCGAGATCGGGCCGAGATCGGGCCGAGATCGGGCCGAGATCGGGCCGAGATCGGGCCGAGAGACCACCCCCAGACCAGTCTCTCCCCTGGCGTTCCTCCGCCCGGGTCCAGTGGGGTCCAGTAGTGGTAGTCACTATTGGCTCCACGAGGACGGTCCGGCGGGGCGCCGCCGCGGCTCCTCTTCTGGATTCGGGTACAGTGGGGGGTAGGGTAACTGGCCGCGGGTACAGTGGGGGTAGGGGAACGCCGGGGCTCCACCTCGCAGAAGTGCCGGGTAGCCCTGTCCTCGATGTGACGCATCAGGTGCTGCTGCCTCTCTGCTCGCTCATCGCGTCGCTCGAGGAGGGCGCGGCCGCGCAGGTGGCGCGCTGGTGGTCACATCTCTCCCCATATCTCCCCATATCTCCCGCAGGTGGCGCGCTGGTGGTCACATATCTCCCCATATCTCCCCAAATCTCCCCATATCTCCCGCAGGTGGCGCGCTGGTGGTCGCACTGGCCGGAGCCTGCTCTCGCGAGGATCGTGGTCGTGCTGCAGCAGTTTCTGTCGGCGCGCCGTTTCTACACGCCTCTCCCCACCTCTCCCCAGCTCTCCCCACACCTCCCCACATCACCCCACACCTCCCCACACCTCCCCACACCTCCCCACACCTCCCCACACCTCCCCACACCTCCCCACACCTCCCCACACCTCCCCACACCTCCCCACACCTCCCCACATCTCCCCACATCTCCCCACACCTGCCCACACCTGCCCACACCTCCCCACACCTCCCCACACCTCCCCACACCTCCCCACATCTCCCCGCATCTCCCCACATCTCCCCATATCTCCCCGTATAGGCGATCCAGCTCTTCCGGTGGGAGGAGCTCGAGCTGCTGCTGTGCGGCTCGCCAAATCTCGACTTCGAGGCGCTGGAGCGGGTGACGCAGTACGACGACGGCTTCTCCTGCGACAGCCCGTGCATCGCGCTGCTGTGGGAGGTGATCCACGAGCTGCCGCTCGAGATGAAGAAGAAGTTCCTCTTCTTTTGCACCGGGTCGGACCGGGTGCCAATCAAGGGGCTCGGCAACCTCTCCTTCGTCATCTCGCGCAACGGCTCCGACGAGGAGCGACTCCCGTCGGCGCACACCTGCTTCAACCACCTGCTGCTGCCCGAGTACACGACAAAGTCCAAGCTCAAGGCGCAGCTGCTCAAGGCGGTCTCGGACACCGAGGGCTTCCACATCATCTGACCGCCGGCCCGCGGCCGCAAAGCTCGAGTCGTGGAGGTGGAGAGCGCGCCGCGGTCCGTGAGAGGCCCGACACAAAAGAGCGGAGTCCGACCCTCGAGAGAGGGCCGACGGGAAAAATCGTCGTTTGTACAGTACGTACCCGAAGGCGGACTGCGGACAGGGTTTGCGATGAGGAGCGACTCCGAAGGGTGTTCGGGTTCGTGACCCGACTAACCGCCGAAGCGCAAGAGAACTGCGACCTGGGTCGGTCTCATATTTTGGGGCGCCGCGCACCCCCTACTCGTGCAGCGAGCTGTCAAACGTTAACTTTGGGCCTAACAGTTGCACTATTGTTGGCTGAAATCCTCAACGTTGTTCAAGTGTTCTCCCCAGCCCAAGCTGTTACTGTTTGTTACTGTTGTTACTGTTGTTCAGTGGTCAGCAAGCAGAAAATGCCAAAAAACCCGGGTAAAACCCGAAAATACCTGGGTTTTTCCACATTCCAGGTATTTTCGGGTATTACCCGCACTGGACGCTGGAGATCGTCGTGGGTCACTGCCAGGCCTTCCTTATTGTTGTTCAGCTGGCCTAACGTTAGCTACTGTTGTTGGGGAGCCCCACTGTTGTTCTGTTGTTACTGTTAACACTAGCAACACTGTTCAGCTCTTAACGTTTGACAGCTCTAGTGCAGCGGGCCCGGGCAGACGGCCCAGAGCCCCTAGCAGAGCCCCCCTGGGACGCACAGACGCCAGATGCCCGGGGCGTCCGTCTCGTCAAGGTGTCTTGAGATTTTTCTTAGCCCCTAACACGGCTCACGAGGCCACACAACCCGCTCCAAAACGAGTCGCCAGGAGGCGTAGGTTGCGATAGGGAGGAGGACGAGGACGAGGGCGGGCACGGTGAGCGGCGAGCAGCTCACGAGCGAGGACGCCCCCGTCGAGGAGACGGCAGACGAGAAGGCCGGGGCCGCCGCCGGCAGGCTAGGCTCGGCTAGCGAGCTGTAGTTCAGTTGAGACCCCGGTTTCGCGCACATGCGCATCGCATGGCCGCTCGGTCTGCCAATAGGCGTCCACGAACTGGGCAGATGGGCCATCACGAAACCTTCGGCATCTCTACCGCAGGAAGGCTGCCAATGATGAAATGATGAGCACCAACGTCTCTTGGTGCTGTCCGTTAGTGTCGCATCGAAGAGGACAGGGCCTCCGGTGAGAAAGGAGGCCCACCAACTGAATGACCCAAAGTTGAACACCGCACCGCCACACATGGACAGCGCGAACATTACGACGGCGGGGTTGCGATGGTCGATGGCCACAACGCTGGCATTCGCCTCACGACTGCCTTTGGCGTACAGAGCCTCGCGCTGGGCGGCAGTGCTTGCATAAGAGGAGGTGAGGAATACCCATTTGGATTTGCCTCGCGCTTGTAACATCTCGGCGAGGCGCGGCAAAGCTTGCGAGTAGAAGGCCTCCGTTAGGGTGCGACGCCGAGCCCTCTCGCTCTGAGCGTCGAGGCTCGGAGTCAAGACTGACGGTTCACGCTCTCTCCTCCCGCACAGAGTTCGCATTTACGGCCGTGGCGCCGCTACTACCCACCATGACGACGGTGGGGTCGGGGGTGGCGATCGGTAGTCCGGCGATCTCGAGTGCTGGTGGCGGCCGATCCGGTCTCGAGGGGCCGAGAGCTAAGTGTACCTGGTCTCCCCTTGATGGTCCTAGGCGGGCTTCTTCACAGGAGTCGATCTTGGAGAGGGGCAGTGCTCACTCTGCACTCTCTGGTCGGCCTGCTGTATCGACCCGTCGTGGCTTCACATCTACCTCGTGCCAGCGGCTCTCCTCGGCACCAGAGCGCTCCATCGAACGCCAGAGCCTGTCCTGGGGCGGGTCCCCACGCCCTTACAATCATACGCATAAAAAAACCCGGACTCAATCGATTGTACTGCGGTGGTGTGAGTGAATGCACCATGAGCAAAAACCTGACTTGGCCTGTACTAGGTGGGACCATGAGGGGGGGTGGGCGGGGTCCTGTGGGGGTGAAATGTTGCGCGGCGAATTCGAACCTTGGTCGGCGCGCGAATGGATGCCGTTTGCGCTGCAACGACTGTCGGTGCAGCTCTGGACGGCGCTCGCGGACGAGGCACAGCGCGCCATTGGTGCGGCGTCGCGCGACCGCGAGGGACCGCGGGGGGGGGCTAGCGGGATGGGGGGTTCTAAGGGGAAGGGAGCGAGGGGCGCCCAGTAGGGCGCCGGCGCCCCAGCGTAGAGGGCCTCGTGTAGCCCTCTTTTTGGTATATTATAAAAAACGTTTCGTTGTGTGCATTGTCTCTTGTCTCGCCGTTGTCCCACAGACCCACGTACCGTCCGTTTCCCGTAACGTATTCACAGCAGTGCCGTCCGCCGACCCAACACTCCCTGTTTTTTCTTTTCTAGGGTACGATACTTCCGGGCCGGTGTGCGGGGAGCGAACCTTAACGACCGCCCAGAAGCTTTCTGAGCGAACCAATCGGGCCAGGATCATCAGCATATGTCCCCTCCACAACATCGTGGGCGTTTGAGCGGTATTTGAGGAGCACCGCGACTCTGAAGTTCGGCCGGGTGGTCTGCAGACCCCCCCCCCCCCGGAGCAGCAGAGGCTCCGTGGGGTCGAAAAGTCGACGCTGGGAGTCGCACTCGTCAAACCGTCGCAACACCACGCGGTACGCACATACCGCCCACATCCCCTCCACCGCTGAGAAGGCGCAGATCGACCGCCGGGCCGCGTAGCCGTCGTTAAGGAGCGGTTTTTGGAGCCGTACGAAGAGGTCCCAGACGGGCGAAGATGCGGTTTTTCGACGACCACACGCGATGTGGTATCTGGTTTTTGCTAAAAACGGGCCGCCTAGTGCAGCATCACTAGTACAACACGCAACCACACTGAAAGCTCCACACTAGCCGGTATAGGCGAGCGCCGACGGCGTCACGGTCGCCGGAGTGGACGCACTGCACACACACTGTGACCGTGTCGTGGGTGTGACAGTGCGCGACACAACCGTCGGCGCCGCGCTATCGCGGCGCCCCGCAGTCTACACGCCTCAGGCACACCCTTGAACGCGCCATGGGCGCGCAGATACACCGCAGCGCCGTGGAGAATCCACACCTGGCCGGTCCCGAGCCCCGTCCTGGGCCTCCAGGCGGCCGAAGATCGGCGTTCGGGCGTGATGAACTTGTCGGAAATGGAGCAAACTTGGCGCGGCTCGTCGCTCGCGGTACCGGGTGAGCCTGGATAGGGCAAAATCTGGGGTGAATACGAGGGACAGAGGTCGCAAGTTTGTCGCGCAAGTTTGCGCGGCGTGGCGCTGCCCCGCTGCCGAGGGCGCCACCAACCCGTGGCGGCGGCATTTCCAGCCCAAATTGGGCGTTCCGTGCGCCTTGCCGGCGAGAGTGGACGGGCTGTGCATCGTGGGGGGGGGTGAGTGGGAGGGAGGTGGTCGTGTGCCTACTTTGTCGGCCGCGCGCGAGGAAAATACTGGGTGTGAGGCGCGCAGGAGGCGAGGGTGGGCGCGCCGGCGGTCGAGCCACCGAACAATTCGACGTGGCGCAGCTCCGCGCCGGCGGGCACGACCGAGCAGATGCTGTCGGCGGCGGTCACGCGACGAGGGAGAGCCGCAGGAGCCCTCTGTGGAGCAGGCGCGCGAAAGCAGCGATGAGTGGCGCTTCGTCAGCCACCTGTGGGCGGTCATCGGGGTGGCGTCACACCTCAGCGAGCTGGATCCGGGAAGGGCATGGGGTCACGCGGGCCCTGTCTGCAGCAGCAGTGCTAACTAAAACGACAAAATTCCGGATGGACCGGAGAGTGTCTACTCTTTCGGCGCACCGTGCTCGGGCCCCTCGAAAAGCTGGCTGGTGGTCGCGCGCGGCGCGTCAGCGCGGCTGCGACTGGTCGGGCACCTCGGCTGGGTCCATCGGCAAGAGGCCCGCGCCGTCGGGCGGCCCCGGGAGCGCATGATGCCCCTCCGAGAGGCGCTGACGCCCCGCCGAGATCGCGCTGGTTTGGCACGAAAAACACGAGGCCCCAAGGGGGGGGGGGTCAAGTATCGTACCCTAGACTTTGCACGCCCTTTTTCCCTTGCATGCTGGGGCCAGCCCTCTCTACGTCTGTTGTTCTTTTCCCTTTTTTCGCGCACACAAACAAACCGGAACAGAACATCCATAATGTTACAACCTCAACCGATCGCAGTCGCGGACGCCGGAGAGAGAGGGAGGCGCTCAATCGCCGCACGGCGAGCGCCTCCATCATCTCCGCCTCATACTCACCCTCCACCCCCGCGCCCGCCCTGTAGCATCACGGACTCTGTTCACGGACACCGAGTTTTTTTGCGCATGTTTCTGTTGCAGAACCAACGGGGGCTAGAGCTGTTGGTTGCCACTCGATTCACAGCACAGTTGTTGTTTTGGTATTGCAGCACAGTGCGTGGAAAAATTCTAGGGAGTTTGGTCTTAAAATTCTTTTGCTGTTGAATTCTTTTGCTGGAATCCAGGCACTCCGCTGTGAACACCGAGGGGCCTAGCAGACAGCTGCGCCACAGCGCCCATCCTCGCAGACCTGGCCCGGGGCGACCTGAACTCGCTGCGCGCCCTCCTCTCCGGGCGGCGGACGCGCGGCACGTCGCTCGCGGCCCAGCTCGACGCGCGGCACGACACAGAGAATCAGGACACGCTGCTCACCTTGGCCGCTCGTCACGGGCAGGCCGAGGCGGTGCTGCTGCTGCTCGAAGGTGGCGCGAGCATCGGGGCGACGACTGGCGGCGGCGCTTCCGCGCTGTACATCGCGTGCCAGGAGGGGCAGATTGAGTGCGCCCGGCTGCTCCTCGAGGCCCGCGCTTCTGTCGGCCAGGCGGACGAGGACGGCGCCACGCCTCTGTACATCGCCTGCCAGGAGGGCCATGTCGAGTGCGTCCGGCTGCTCCTCGAGGCTAGCGCGGCGATTAACCAAGCTGATGGAGAAGGCACCACGCCGCTGTATATCGCATGCGAGAAGGGCAACCTCGAGTGCGTGCGGCTGCTCCTCGAGGCTGGCGCGGCAGTCGACCAAGCCGATGATGAAGGCACCACGCCGCTGAGTGCTGCGAGCTTGACTGGCGAGATCAGCTGCGCCCGGCTGCTCCTCGAGGCTGGCGCGGCGGTCAACCAAGCAGACGCTGAAGGCCGCACGCCGATGCTCGTCGCCTGCCAGGAGGGGCAGATCGCGATCGCTCGGCTGCTCCTCGAGGCCAGCGCGGCGACCGACCAAGCCAGTGACGACGGCGCCACTCCGCTGTACATCGCGTGCCAGAACGGCCACCTCGAGTGCGTCCGGCTGCTCCTCGAGGCTGGCGCGGCGATCAACCAGGCCGAGGGTGACGGACTCACGCCGCTGAGCGCTGCTTGCATTCACGGCCACGCCGAGTGCGCCCGGCTGCTCCTCCGCTCGAGCGCGGCGATCAACCAAGCGTCGAACAGTGGCGCAACGCCACTGCTCATGACGTGCGCTGCGGGCCTCGTCGAGATCGTCCGGCTGCTCCTCGAGGCCGGCGCGGCGATCGACCAGACCAACAACAGCGGCGTCACGCCTCTGCTCGTCTCGTGCGTGTCTGGCCGGCTCGAGATCCTAGAAGCGGAATACCTATTCCTGCCTCCCAACTAGCGCCCGAGAGGACATGTACGTTGCTGTATTCACCCGTATCCCGCTGTATTCACTGTACTCCTCTCCGTTGTATTCACGCGGTGCTCTGAAGACACTACACGATACCGTATTCCCGCCCTGAGGCTGGCGTATTCAGCACGGTAGGCTCGAGATCGTCAAGCTCCTCTCCTCGTATGGCGCGTCCCGCGGCACCGAGCGCATGGCCGAATCGATTGCAAACAGCGAAGGCCAAGCCGACCTCGCCGCCTGGCTGGTCGCCAGCCGAGGCTGGATGCCGCTCGCGCACCTTGAGACCCTCACCGCCGCCCGCGCCACCTCCCTGCTGCGCGGCGGCGCAAGCTTGCACGAGGGCGAGCCGACGCCGTTGCAGCGCGCTGTGGGCGGCGAGGGCGAGGCGGCGGCGCTGGTTCTTAGCTCCCCGGCCCTGGATGTGCGGTTACTGACTGCACTCCAAGTGCTCCAAGTGCTGGTTCGGCGGGCGGCGGCGCCGTGGTCGCCGGCAAGCCACTCGCTCTTCCCCTCGGCGGCCCGCGCGCGGGCGGCGCTCCTCGTCCTCTCGCTCTACGAGATCCACGAGCGGTACCACCTCGACTCGGCAGGAGCCACGAACGGCATCGCGGCGCTCGACTTTGGCCACTGCGTCTTGGGATTTGGGATTCGCCATCGCGCGCGAGACGGAGTAGGTTTCGACGTGCAGCGCGGTGAGTTTTTTTGCGCATGTTTCTGTTGCAGAACCAACGGGGGCTAGAGCTGTTGGTTGCCACTCGATTCACAGCACAGTTGTTGTTTTGGTATTGCAGCACAGTGCGTGGAAAAATTCTAGGGAGTTTGAAAAGAAAGAAAGAAAGAAAACAGACAACCCAAGGGAGGGATGGGAGGACGGCACGCCGCCACCACACAGGGATTTTAAGGAGAGGAGTGTGATGCGCTAGCCGTCGCCCACCATAGGGAGTCTGCCTCTTCCTATCTCTTTTCGCAGTCTCTCGCCGATTCTCGCTGCAACCTTCATGCCACCTCGCGGCCGTCCCACTCTCGTCGTTCTCTCCCTTGTCACTTCCTCCTGGGAGTTTGGTCTTAAAATTCTTTTGCTGTTGAATTCTTTTGCTGGAATCCAGGCACTCCGCTGTGAACACCGAGGGGCCTAGCAGACAGCTGCGCCACAGCGCCCATCCTCGCAGACCTGGCCCGGGGCGACCTGAACTCGCTGCGCGCCCTCCTCTCCGGGCGGCGGACGCGCGGCACGTCGCTCGCGGCCCAGCTCGACGCGCGGCACGACACCGAGAATCAGGACACGCTGCTGACCTTGGCCGCTCGTCACGGGCAGGCCGAGGCGGTGCGGCTGCTGCTCGAAGGTGGCGCGAGCATCGGGGCGACGACTGGCGGCGGCGCTTCCGCGCTGTACATCGCGTGCCAGGAGGGGCAGATTGAGTGCGCCCGGCTGCTCCTCGAGGCCCGCGCTTCTGTCGGCCAGGCGGACGAGGACGGCGCCACGCCTCTGTACATCGCCTGCCAGGAGGGCCATGTCGAGTGCGTCCGGCTGCTCCTCGAGGCTAGCGCGGCGATTAACCAAGCTGATGGAGAAGGCACCACGCCGCTGTACATCGCATGCGAGAAGGGCAACCTCGAGTGCGTGCGGCTGCTCCTCGAGGCTGGCGCGGCAGTCGACCAAGCCGATGATGAAGGCACCACGCCGCTGAGTGCCGCGAGCTTGACTGGTGAGATCAGCTGCGCCCGGCTGCTCCTCGAGGCTGGCGCGGCGGTCAACCAAGCAGACGCTGAAGGCCGCACGCCGATGCTCGTCGCCTGCCAGGAGGGGCAGATCGCGATCGCTCGGCTGCTCCTCGAGGCCAGCGCGGCGACCGACCAAGCCAGTGACGACGGCGCCACGCCGCTGTACATCGCGTGCCAGAACGGCCACCTCGAGTGCGTCCGGCTGCTCCTCGAGGCTGGCGCGGCGATCAACCAGGCCGAGGGTGACGGACTCACGCCGCTGAGCGCTGCTTGCATTCACGGCCACGCCGAGTGCGCCCGGCTGCTCCTCCGCTCGAGCGCGGCGATCAACCAAGCGTCGAACAGTGGCGCAACGCCACTGCTCATGACGTGCGCCGCGGGCCTCGTCGAGATCGTCCGGCTGCTCCTCGAGGCCGGCGCGGCGATCGACCAGACCAACAACAGCGGCGTCACGCCTCTGCTCGTCTCGTGCGTGTCTGGCCGGCTCGAGATCCTAGAAGCGGAACACGTATTCCTGCCTCCCAACTAGCGCCCGAGAGGACACGTACTCCGCTGCATTCACCCGTATCCCGCTGTATTCACTGTACTCCTCTCCGTTGTATTCACGCGGTGCTCTGAACACACTACACAATACCGTCTTCCCGACCTGAGGTTGGCGTACTCAGCACGGTAGGCTCGAGATCGTCAAGCTCCTCTCCTCGTATGGCGCGTCCCGCGGCACCGAGCGCATGGCCGAATCGATTGCAAACAGCGAAGGCCAAGCCGACCTCGCCGCCTGGCTGCTCGCCAGCCGCGGCTGGACGCCGCTCGCGCACCTTGAGACGCTCACCGCCGCCCGCGCCACATCCCTCTTGCGCAGCGGCGCAAGCTTGCACGAGGGCGAGCCGACGCCGTTGCAGCGCGCTGTGGGCGGCGAGGGCGAGGCGGCGGCGCTGGTTCGGCGGGCGGCGGCGCCATGGTCGCCGGCAAGCCACTCGCTCTTCCCCTCGGCGGTCCGCGCGCGGGCGGCGCGCCTCGTCCTCTCGCTCTACGAGATCCACGAGCGGTACCACCTCGACTCGGCAGGAGCCACGAACGGCATCGCGGCGCTCGACTTTGGCCACTGCGTCTTGGGATTCGCCATCGCGCGCGAGACGGAGTAGGTAGGTTTCGTGAGCGCGCGCGGCGCGTCGTGTCTCGTGAGGACCTGGCAGTGTGGTGTTGTGTATTGCATGCCGTCAAGCTTCGCGTGTCGGTCCTCGGACTTCGATCTTCGCGCCTGGGCTCTGAGAACCGTTCTCTTATCTATAATGCGGGGGTTAGAGTGCGGTGGCACCACAATGTACTGTGGCACGTACGTACACGCTACGCGGGGCGGCGCGGCGGCGGGCGGGCCGCGGGGCCCGCGCGCGCGCGTCCCGCGGCCCCGCGCGCGCGCGTACTCGCTAGCTCCTCGCTACGGCGCGTTAGGTCCCCGCCCCTCGACCCACCACCCACACCCCGGCCCTGCAACTGCACGAATATCCCGGAATCGGACCGCGGCGTCAGAGCTCGTCCGGCCACGCCGATGCTCTCTGTGGCTGCCACTCGCGCAAGGCCGCCGCGCCGTGCCGCTCGCCCGGCAGGAAAGCGAGCTCCTATCGCATGGGCGGGGAATCGCTCCTTTCTACACATCCCCTGGAGGTGTCCGTTTGATTGGCTGAAAGCGAGCTCCTCGCCGCCCTTGCCGATGACGACCACAGCCGGCACGCCTGCGCGGCGGACAGTTCAGCCGCCCAGTCATGCACGCGCCCTAGCCAGAGGGCGAGAGGGGGCGCGGTACGCGAGGCGGTGTGCGCGCTGTGCGCGCGCCTGCGCGGCGGCCGCGCATGCCAAACTCGCCCGCCTATTCATAGCTGTGTGCTCTCTGCCCGCGCCGCTCCCCACTCGGGCTCGCGAGCCCAAAGAGCTCTGTCTCCGCCTCTCGCTCTACCACACGGCAATCTCGGGAAATCTCGGGTACTCTCCGCCTCGCGCATCGACCACACACCGTACCGCCGCTTCAGCTCGGCGGCGAGGCTGCGAGGCAGATAAAAAACGTGAGAATAAGTCAGGACAGCCGCCGTCTCTGGACCGCGCCGGCGCGGCGACACCCGCGAGGGTGTCACGACGGCTGCGGGGAGAGGGCGCCGAGCGGGGAGAGCGCGGCGCAATCGTCTAGGGCAGTGTCTCTCGGAAGGGTCTCGCGTGCGTCTCGGAAGTGTCTCGGAAGTGTCGGAATGTCTCCGAAGGCGGTGCGCCTGTCTCCCCAGCCGAGGGCGAGCCAGTCGCCCTGCTGCGACTCAAAGTGAGCCTAACGGAGCGTGGCAAGGGCAATCGTGGCGTCCGACGGAGGCGGCGACGGCCTGGCTGCTCCCGGTCAGCTCACCTGCGCGTCGTCCTGGCTCATGTCGGATGACACAAAGACGACCTGCATCGTGTCTCTGTACTGCTCGTGAAATGAGTGCAGGGCGGGCGTGAAGCGCCGGCAGAGCGGACACCACTCGCCAGCAAAGTAGAGCGCCACGCTCTTGCCGCCGAGCTCTCGACAGCCCACCTCGGCTCCCGACCTGGTGCGCAGGCTGGCGCCAGCAAAGATGCAGCGAGGCATCTCCTCGCTCGCTTCGCAGAGTGAGAGGAGACCAGCGATCAGCATGAGCCATCTCGCAAAGCAGCTCGCAATGCCCATCGTACACAACCGTGTGCATAGGCAGGGTTCGGGCGCAACACTCGTAGGCTCAACTATGGCACGGCCCAGGTGGCCAAGGTGGTGCTCCCGACCGTCGAGCCCTTCATCATGGTCGGCGACTACGGGTACCGCCCGGAAGGCGACGAGTGCGTTGCCAACACCGACGGCCTGCTCGGCACCGCCCTCACCGTCATGGTCTTCTTCTCCATCTTTGTCCAGATGTCCGAGGGGTTGCACTTCGGTATCGTCCCGTACGTCTCGCGCCCGGCCCTTGGCGTCGTCTCGGGCATGGTCGGCGCGGGCGGCAACCTGGGCGCCGTGATTGGCACGCGTGGCATCATCGCCCCCGACGTCGACGTCGACGCGGGATTCATCATGCTCGGAGCGGTCATCATGGCCACCTCGGTCCTGTTCTTCGGGATTTACTTCCCTGAGCACGGCGGCATGCTGTTCAAAAAGGGCGCCCTCGGCTCGTACGACCCGCAGCTGTACAAGCCCGACGACGCAGACCGCGGCTCCGACCAGATGGACTACTCCGCCGCGGCCCCAGCGCAGAAAACGAACCGCGCGGTGGAAGCCGATATGTAAATTCCAGCAACGGGAAGCTCAGAGATAGGTTGCGAACTTCTTCTGCAGCTCCTTGTACATTTGATCAGTTGATTGATGGGCAGGCATGCGTTCGCATAACGGAAGGCCGTGGAGTACCTCGTATCGCGATGGCCGGGCTCGACACACGCCGGCGCCGGAAGGAGCCGCTCCTCCGGCGCAGGCTCCGTCTAGCCAATACGCAATAGACGAGCCCGTTGCCCACCCCCAACGGGCTCACGTCCACTCTGCCCTTGTCGTGTGTGTTGGAATCGTGGATATTTACGAGTCCCACGCACGTGTGCATGTGTTGGGGGGGGATTCGATTGCAAGAAGTTGACATGTTTTACATGCATACTGCGGCGGCCGCCGGCGCGGGCGCGGGGACGGGGGACAGTGCTCAGTGCACAGTGGGACACGCCGGACAAAGAGGTGTGTACCCCCATGGGTGCGGACTGCGGTAAGCCGGCCGATCGCGAAAAAAGCGGCCGGGCGCGTGTGGGGCGAGCACACTCTCCCTTTTTGTCTGCACAGCGGTCCCGGGTCGCACTCGCTCGCGCCAACCACGCGATCTCTCACCGGGTTAGTACACACGCGCAGTTGCACACGCGCCAACCGAGTGAAACGACACAGAGTATCAGAGAGCACGCCTGCGCCCCCCCTGGCAGCGCGACCGAATGTCGAGCCCGGTCAGCTCACGGCCTTTCGGATGTAGAAGAGGAGGTACGCCTTGCAGGAGCGCACCGCCTTTGGCGTCGCCGGCGTGACGGAGGCGTCGTCACAGTGGAACCACGACGCGTGCCTGGAACAGAAAGGTGCGGCCGCAGAGTCAAGCCGCGCAGGAATATGGGGAGAGACGGGGAGAGACGGGGAGAGACGGGGGAGAGACGGGGAGATATGGGGAGATGCGGGTGCCGCGGAGTCGACTCGCGCGGACGGGGTGCGCGGGGCGCGCGGGCGTGGAGCGCGGCGGCGCGCGCCGTCGGATGTAGGCGGTGTAGTGGCCGTTTTGCATCGTGCCGTGGTGGACGGCGATGCCAAACAAGTCGTACAGGTGCTCGGCGGCGGCGGGCCTACGCCAGCCCGTGGGAGGTCCCTATGAGGCGGCTGGAGGGGACTGCGCAGGTGCTCTGCGGCGGCGGGCGGGAGATCACGGGAGATCACGGCAGGTCGCGGGAGATCGCGGGAGATCACGGGAGGCCTTGCGCGTGCTCTGCCGCGGCGGGCAAGCGATCACGTGGCCACTCTCGAGTGCCAGTCGGAGATATGGGGAGATGTGGGGAGATGTGGGGAGATCTCGAGTGCCAGTCGGAGATATGGGGAGATATGGGGAGATATGGGGAGATGTGGGGAGATCTCGAGTGCCAGTCGGAGATCTGGGGAGATCTGGGGAGCTGTGGGGAGATCTCGAGTGCCAGTCGGAGATATGGGGAGATGTGGGGAGATGTGGGGAGATCTCGAGTGCCAGTCGGAGTGCAAGGATCTGCAGTCCGCGTCTAGAGCGGTGGAGCGGTGCGCCTCGCCCCCCTCTCACGCGCAACGCCGCCGCCGCCGCCGCAAGCCGGCGGCGGCGGCGTGGGCGTCTTGCGCCCCTTGCCATCCCGAGCGGTGAGGAAGGCGGAGGTGTAGCGGTACCTGTGAGGTGTAGCGGAGGTGCGGCGGTGAGGTGTAGCGGAGGGTGCGGCGGTGAGGAGGGCGGAGGAGCGGCGGGGAGGGCGGAGGTGCGGCGGAGGTGCGGCGGAGGTGCGGCGCGCACATGTTTAGCGGACGCGAGGGGGAACTGCACAAAGCTGTCCATCTTTGAGGTTTGC